ATTTTGAGCAAAATGTAATTAAAATCAACTCCTTTCAGTACACGTTTTGATAGATAAAAATTAGCGAAGGGGTAAAGAGTTAAAATACCTTTAAAAAGTTAAAAAGCTAGCGTTTTAGTAAAGATACTTTTTTTAAAAGTATCATAACGATTGAATAATAGTTGCAAAGCTGCTCGTGAAAACCTTCACAAATTGTACGAGCGACTAAACCACTTTGCAAAGGGTTTCACGAACAGCCTTGAAACTATTATTCCAGAACTCGTGAGGCACTAGTAACTAGGTAGACTTGAAACTAGTCTATACTTATTCCAGTACCCTCTCATATTTCTATTAAATTAGGACCTCTTTACTACAGCTTTCGGATATAAATACTGCCATCCAACAGATTATTGGGGTTTTGCAATAAATATTTTTCATAATTGGATCTACCCGATTCCAAAACAATAAAATTTGGTCCAATTACTGGCAAAAAATAAAGAAAGAAACTCTCGAGTAAAATTTGAAGAAATCAGGTGAACTTTACAACGTCTTTATATGGTTGACGGTCTGTCTCTACCGTGACGGAACGGTATTGCCTCACTTCGTTTAAACTAAGTAACTGAAAAATTATAATTTCGCAATAACAGTGCCCTCATGTCGTGTGAACAGTGAATGCTTACTTGGCTTTCAGGAATCGGGATACCCAATAAAAGCAGACAATTACATGCGGACAAAAAAAATGTCAGGTCTCAACCTGAAACTGGTTTTAACTACAACTATCGCAGACTTGCGTCTTGTTACAGTAATGTGGTATAATTTCATCGTCCGGAACCACATCACTACTTCGAAAATTCTGATGCTGACAGAAATCTCGCAAAGAATGAGATACGGTAAGCTTAAGACTATATATATATACTAAATCAGAGCTAAAGAGCTTGGCTAACAGGTACGTAATTCTACCAGAATGATGTCCGATAATGCGAAGTGATAGTAAAGTGCTCGAATATATTGGGCAATAAAGTATAAATTTGATATTGTTTTACACAAAACTGAAATCTGTTTTATTGCCAAACACAGACACCAATACAATTTTATATTGAACACGAAACCTACTGTCAATGCATTGTTTATAAATACATAATTCCCCTTTACAATTATAAGGCTCCACCATTGCACTTGCTGCTCTAATCGTGTTCGTATTCTGCGTCTTGGCCGGCAACGACGCCTTCTTACGAGGCCCTATTATTACCAGACAGATTCAAATTTTGCAGTTAAACAACAGGAACGCCAGGCCTCCCAGCCTAAAGCCAACGACGTCTTGTATACTAATTGAAGAGATTACTGCACACAGTATAGATACGTTTTGGCTCGTCTTTCAACTTTGATACTTCCTCCGGTATGGAATAATTGCAACATTGTGCATATTACGCGAAATTACCTCTATAAACTACCTCTGTAAACGATTGATTCATGAGCGTAGTCATAACGCATGGTGGCGATGCTGGTGCTCATGTCGACTTTGAAGCGCTCTGACGTCCGGACCAAGAGGCACCAGTCCGGATCGCTCCTGACGCGACGCACCACACGAAGAGCATGACGCCTTGCCATGCCTGTTTCCAGAGTCTGGGAGTCTGACTTGGAAACGGTCGTAGAGGTGGCCATGCATACTGGAAATGGCGAGTGGATGGTGTTAAAGATGCTGGAAAAATGTGCAATGGAGACCTGGC